AATACGGGTTTTTGCTGCGTGTTAGTACATAAATACTTATCGCACATTTCACGTAATTACAGGCCTGAAATATATAATTATATTTAATTGCGGCAAAGACACTGGCATGATCTACGCATTTACTTTGCGAGGATATAGAGACTGGAAATTCGTCAGTACCCCATTTAAATCGATTAGTGAAGCAAAAAATATGTCATTTCATTTAAAAAAAAGCGAAAATGATCTTGAAATGATTTTGTATCCCTTCAGCTGTTCATATTTGTTGGTCCTCTTTGTAATATAATTTTTGTCTAAAACAACGAGGACGTACAAGTTGATCAAGTTACGTGTATAAAGAAATTACATTATATATTTGTAATATGTACATTGTATGATGTTACGTGATTTTCCTTCATGTTCAGCATAATGACTTTATGTTAGTTAATTCTGTTGCTCGCACTCTCGCACTTTGCATTTTCACATTCTCTCGTTTAATGTTTATTTCATTTCTAAACAAGAACAATGTTATTATCCTCTGTCATGTAATCATTGCAATAGAATCAAGATGAATTGATTTGCACTCGATTATGTGATGCATAATACGTAATAAAGCGCGACTAACGAATAAAGAGAGAGAGAGAGAGAGAGGAAGTTAATCAATATTTACTGATTTCAACTATTCCAGACGAAACCGATTTGAGTTCTTCTCCATGATTTTTATATTCCAACCGGGATGAAAGCAAGGACGTGACGTGACATTTGATAATTAAATGCACAATGTTCGGTTTCATCGATTCGCGTTGAAAGTCTATGCACGTTTCGAACGGCCTTGAAACACGTAAGTTCATCAAGGGATAAGCAGAAATTCGTACAATGACTCTAATTATCTCATCGATATCGACAAGGAATGTCCTTCGTATTCTAGTCAAAATTCAACCGCTTCATGGCTAATTCGTGAATCGAATGTCTTGATTTTAATTCCCGTGGGTTCTGTCTTAATTTTAATGGGAAACGATCAATCGTTTCAATCTCAATAAGACATACATACTGCCATGCATAAGTACTCAAATAATTCTTATAAATTGTTACAAACACACGAACGTTGTAAAATTAATCATTATTTATTATAATTTTTATTAGAATCTTTGTTTTTTAATCATAGAACATATCGACACTTAATGAGACATCCTGTATAAAATACAGTGCAGATGAATCTTTAATTTGATTGTAACGTATGCAGTTAGTCGAAAAAGCAATAATCGAAGATGACAAATTAATTTTGCAGATAAATTAATTGCTACACTTGAAGTATAGTCTGTTAATAAATATTGAAATGTAGCAGTGAAAAATTTACGTTGCGAAAGTTTGTGCAGGACTGGGCAAATTTGACTTGAAATAAAGATAAAAAAATAAAAATTCTGAATAACGAACCATTAACTTGTTGTAATTTATTCCAATTTCTATTGAATGATTATCTTTGTTTTAAAAATAAAAATTAACAAGTAATCACAGCATGAAATATAGTTTATTCAACAGAATCGGAGTTACTTGTAGAAATTAATTTAAAACGCAGGATAAAACAAATGATTATCTTATCTGATAGCCAAGTAATAGAAAAACCATCTATTATTCAGGTAAACTGACGCAAAATTATTTCTAACTAACATCAAGTCATGTAAGGTGCCGTATTAAATTATTCAAATAATTCTTCAAATATTTTATTTCAATAATGCTCATGCCTGTCTTTATGTGACGTCCTATACTCCTGCGTCAATGACGTGATTTGTTTGTTTAACGTCTCGGCTATCAACATAGTAAAGTAGTACGAATGAGCGAATGAGAGTCTCAGTATACACGAGATCAGTATACTGAATCGCGTGAGAATTGTCGTGTAAAAAGTTCATAACACTGCGTGTATTTTCGGCATCCATCACACGTGCATCGCGATACAAGTATCTTCGTGTGAAATGAGTTATATCGTCGATTCTAAATCGTCGTGTGAAAAACTCCATAATGCCGCGTCCACACTTCGGCTGGTTTCACACTGATTGTGAGCAAAACTGTTTCGCCAACAGCATTGTAGACACTGTCTAGAGAACTACAATCAGATTACAACGAGCTTTCTTGCAACAGCGAACAATGTTCGCTCAGTAAGAGCGAATCTACATCAAAGAATCTATTTGCAAAATCGAAATGGATATGGACGTGTATAATTTCGTGTGCGTGCGAGCAAAGTCTGCAACGAACTGCTCGCAAGCAGCAAGAGAACAACCCTGGAATTGTTAGCTCGCAAACTATTCGCGAACAGTTCTGTCCAGTGTGGACAGCATAAGGCTACGTGTATTTTTGGTATTCGTTATACGTGTATCGCTGTACAGCGATTGGATAACAAAATATAAACTAATTCAAATATTGATCAATAAATTCTTGCATATCAATAAGATTTTTGAATATCAATACTATTTTGCAAACCAAGGCCGAATAGTAACAACATGTAAGTATAAGGAAAAATTGTTCTGAATCATGCCCCCGACAACATATTTCAATGCCATTGAAATTGGTAAACAAGCCTCTTTTTAAATAATTGTTATTAATTTTGTATTCTTATTTAAATGTATATTTCATATATACGAATGTAATTCATGTTCAATTTGCAGTTTTTACGCGAATTTCTTTTTTCTTTTTCACATCAGTAAGACAAATAAAAAAGTTAAAATTCCACGTGAGATGAATTGAAAATATGAAGTTCGATTGATTGAAGATGACAGTAGGCGAGAATTAAAATACAAGTATGTATTCTGCGCCTATGAGCCTTGAATAACACGTTATCAAGAACCCACGATATATTGAAATTGCGTAACAGACACTGAAGAACCAGACTGTGTCGCTTTAAATTATAGTCTTGTGCTGGATGACGATAGCTAGTTAAAAACTGTGTCTTGAACAGATTAGTGTAGTTAGATAGTTCTCTAGTTTTTACGTTTCTAACTTTAGCCAATTTTTGTCTCATCACCAGCTATCTCTTCAATTGGAAATTTCAACAGTAAACTCCATTTTCTTCGTAGCTATTCTTGATTAAATCAACCTTGAAACTTGCTAGAGCTAAAGAATGTTTCAACTAGTTTAACTCGGGCGCTTTTAGTCTTCTTTTTTCTGCATAATTCTTTAGTGTCAACGAATGATGAATCGATATACTAAAATAAGTTAGAGACGTCATATATATCTATGTCCTACATACCTCAATTCTCAAGTTATAAATAATTGGAGAAAATTTTCAATGGGTCCATGCCTTGTGTCTCAATCAGTATACGCTGCTATTCATTGCAATATGTCTAAATTTTAACATTAACTAATATTATACAGAAGAATATGTTATATGAGTTACAGAAAATTCACTCCACCAAACTTTTATTTTTGATACAGTTTAAAATCTATTGCATATTCAACTATAATAATGTGCACGATTTGCAAGAAAGTATTCAAATTTGTACTATTCATGGTGTACTTCATATGTTAAGTGTGTAGTATCATATGTTAAAACACGAGATACATTGGATACATTAAAATATTTTTTTCATCTATATATAACTCGGAAATTCAAGCTTCGTATGACATATTTTATTTATTTTAATGATTCAATATATTCACAATAATCTTGTTTCGAATATTTTCCTTCGTTTCTGTACTAATTGTTAACTAGTACTAAATGCTTCATTCATCGTACAACATCTAATGATTATTAATTTATGTGATCTTATGATCTTAAGACGTAGAGAAAAATTTATACGCAGAATTGATTGTTGCACGACGAAGCTGTAATTTGAAAGTAGACACGCTGATTGTATGTTTATATCTCAATGTGTTGAATTCGTCTGTGCTGTATTTCCCGCATGTGAGAAGTGCAATATGTTTGTACAGGCCTCCGCAAATAATTTTTCATCGTTCGAAAAAAATATTTAAAACAAATCGATCAGAAAACTTGCGATGTTTGTGTCATTTGACAATAAGCGGAGTTCTCGGTGCCTCCCCTAAATTATTCTACCTTTTTCTAATGCATCAGTCGACACTCTTAATTAATATCGAGAAACTAACGATTTAGGAGATACTTTAACTTTTTTATCTTGTTCAACCTTTAACTTTCAAAAAGTATTAACTTCTTATCAATCGTGCGATAGAGTTATCTTTTGTTTAGAACGTATATGAAGGAAAGTAGGGCGAGCTCGGTTAAAGCCGTGTACGCAACCGCATATGCAAGAAATGTCTGTGTTATAATATAATATAACAAGTTGATACTGAATGTATGTTGGAGAAATCCGCAGTCTGTTTATAAAACGAAGATCGAAAAACTGACATCGATAGTTCATTATTAAAAAAAGAAGGATTTATCATTTTCAACGACGTCAAAATTATATAATTTTTTTTTTTTTTTTTTTGGGTTCTCTAACTATTAAAAATTTTAATTAAGTTTCACTCGATCCCCGGTACAAACCGACCTTTAGTCAGCGAGGCTTCACCCGTTGTTAACACGGTGTCAGTCCCTGCGGACCGACACTTCATTATTCGTTTAGCCGGTGTCGAGTCTGATAAATACACCCGATTGTATTTATTAATTTAAAAAATACACGTAAAAAAGAAAAAAAAACTATAATTTATATAATATAAAAAATACACGTTCGGCTTCGTCTCGAATGTGTTAATCTACTAATTAAATTCGAGATAGAGACAGGTGCTTACCGGCCTTATTAACGTCCCAGACGACGACGATTACGCCTAGCTTGGCTAGCCTGAGGGCGATGAGCCTTCCCAACACGCCACCAGCTCCAGTGATCAAGGCAATGTCTCCAGCGATATTCTTCGCCTTGTACTTTTCCGGGATCAGTGCTCTGAAGGTATTCTTGATGACGAACCCTACCGTAAGGATTAGGAAACCGATCACGTTTATGGTATCCTCGAGGAAAGACATAATTAAGCCGTGTCTTTCTTCGTCGAATCTTTAAATCGTTAGACTTGCTCGGTGGTCTCTATATACGGACTCCTCTGTGATCCGAAGCGGCACGAATACTGTTATTTATTTTAGGTGAAAGAGCATTGACTGTGACTACGACTAAAAGCAGAACGACGTCGGTGTGAATCGTGTCTTGGTCCTTCGATCTGAAAGAAAGATAATTATACGTTATTAATAAGCGTAGAATAAAATAAATACCATGAAATGAGATAGACAGTCAGATCGATCGTGCAATCGAATTATACAGAGCATTGTATTGGAGATTGTCTGAAAATTCTGAATTTTTATTTCTTTCTAAATGAGCTTCGTACTTCAATTCAAATTGTCTGAGTCATGATGCATCCCTCACCCTCTCTGTTTCTTCAACAGATTCTTCACCTTTTCAGAAGCTTGGAATCGTCGCTTATTGAAAAATAAAACTTCTTCGAAAACTGTATACTATACAATATTTTTTCTTTGAAGAAGAAAATCTATTTCGATTAAATTTTCAAAAACAAATGAACTTTTTATACAAAAATCCGACAGTTTCATACTATTTAATACACTGAGTTAATACAACGAGTAATACATGCCGGCATGTTTTTCGAAACTAATGATTCAACAAACACATACGCAGATAGTGTTTTGAAAACACTGTTTAAATGTCAGGTGTAAGCATATGCTACAAAGGTATAAGCATCCATTTAAAAATTATAACATAACCTTCACACGACGTTTCATTGTTACTATACATGGTCAAACATCATTACATCTGCTCCTCTGTATTCTACAACTTTCGTCTGGAATACTTTTCTCCGTATTATCCATACTTTTTGAAACATTTTGGTGTTCTCGGATAAACTGAACGTACCAATCAAATTAAAAAGATTCTATTGTATTTTATAGAGTGTTTCATCGTTATCCCGCCAAACAATGTTCTAACGTTAAAAACAAGAAAAAGAAAAGATGATTAAAAAAAATAGAGTCGTAAAGATACTATTACAAAGTTATAATGTAATGATCAGTCTTAGAACGTTTGTAATAGTTGCAATTGTTTAGAATTATTCCAACGCTTACGAGCACGTAATTTTAGGTTAGGTTGATCAATGGAGAAGCGAAAAGCTAAGGAAAGGGAATGTTTGCAAATTCATCTTGTCTAGCTCGTAGCTCGACTATGTAAGTACTTCAGGTGGTACAAAAACTAGTTTACGCTTTCACCGAAATTTCGTATCACTTTCTTTTTGCTGCCGGTAGGGAAGAGAATCGTCGAAAGATATGGAGAAGAACCGCTACCCGAACATTGGTCCCCATTCGCTTTCCTCTTACACGTTGCTTACAACTTCTGCCTACGCAATCCACGATTTTTCCGGTAGTTGATACATACGTTACGACGAATCACGAATATCGCTTTCTAATGAGACGCGAAATTCACTTTCGACTTTTTTTTCCTTCCCAGCCGTGTGTAATTCCGCTCACGGAAAGCTCGTAATTTTTTCGGTTACTTTCAGTTAGCGAACCCCGACGTGAATAAAATGAATTTTTTTTCGCGTGCACGCGAGTCGAAACGAAGCGAAGATTATAAAACGAAGTATTGTTTTTAAGTCGTTCGATGAGAGGAGATGAACGGGCTGGCAGTAAGTTTAAATCACTTA